GGCTAAGACAATGGCCAGGCTGCTTTTGATGCACAGTCATTGCCTTAATAACTTCTAAGCAAATGTGAAGCATTAAGCTCAGGATGAAGGAATGTAGTTTTCTGGTGCACAAGACAACACACTGAGCACAGCAAAGTTATTAACAGCATCCCTTGAGACAATAATGAAGTGTACAAAAAGCAATTATCTGTTTGAAATAGCAGTAGTGGGGATTAGGACCTTTGCTTGCGTTTACGAGAGCTCAGCTTCTGCATTTGTTTTCCGGCCAGGACTTAACCCTGGAACAAATAATGTAAGAAAACATTCAAAGCGCGCTTAGTAACTGTGGCGTACATTCCTCTAGTAACTGAGTAACTAGAGATTGTCCGCACAGGCTGGAGGCATTTTAGACAAACCAAAGAGTTCCCAGGCCAGTGTACAGAGGGCTGGGAAGCTCCCCTTTCCATTTCAGTAGTGGGACTTCCATGTGCAATTTCCTCTGATTTGTCTAAACCTCTTTTAAAGCCATCTAGGTTGTGGCTGTCAACTAACATGCAGTAGCAGGTCTGCCACTCATTGTGTGACAGACTTCATTTTGTCTGTCCCGAATCTCTCATCTTTATTGTATGACCCTGAGTTTTCAGGGAGAAAACTCTTTTCTATCTGCAATCTAGACATTTTTTTATAAGCCCAATGTTAGGAGTCCATCTTGTGGCCATTACTCCTGTGAATCCTATGAGACTGAAGGAACAGATCATCCGCACTAATTGCTTCTCAGCATTTCTACCCTCCAGCACGTTTTCTTTTGCAGTCCAGCCTTTACTCAGGAAAGAGGGGTGGAACTGCATCACAAAGTTTAGCTGTTTTATTGGTAATATGCTGAGTCTGCTTTTTAAAAATGATGCCATGTTTTTCCAAATGGTCCGAGGAAAGGAAAAAGAATCCCACTTTGTGCAAAATACAGTGCTGTAAAATTGAACATATGGGGCACATGTGTTGTGCTTGAGTGGAGCCTACCTGCTTTTCAAGTGCTTATTTTATATTTCTCACAAACAACAGCAGGCCAGTTTATCTGATGCCATCAAAGGGGGGGGGGGAGAGAAGATTCCTGGCTTTATTGTGTTTGGTATTATTTACAGCATCTGTCAAAATATGCATGGAGGTTGTGCATCTGTTCATGCACCAAATCTGCTCTGTGAAACATTGGGCCTGATTGCGCTGACTCAGTTGATTTATGGTTTTTTGTTTTCGTGGTTACTAATGATGGAGGAAGAATACCATGACTGTTTATGTGATCTCACATCCAATAGTAATCCATGAGTGGATGAAACAACAAGGACCGTAATCTTTTTTGAGAAAATGAAAATTGCATACTTCAGCAGAAATTGGAAATGTTTAAAAGTTTGGCTCCTAAACTATATTAAGGATACCATCAAATGCAGATCTGTTTTTGCTCAAGATGCCCATTTTTGCATCATAATCAATTACCTGGAGAGTTATCACCCTCTAGCATTAATCCATTCTGGTAGAGGTTTGTGCTGTACAGTGGTGCCCCGCAAGACAAATGCCTCGCAAGACGAAAAACTCGCTAGACGAAAGGGTTTTCCGTTTTTTGAGTCGTTCCGCAAGACGAATTTCCCTATGGGCTTGCTTCGCAAGACGAAACGTCTTGCGAGTTCTTGCGAGTTTGTTTCCTTTTTCTTAAAGCCGCTAAGCCGTTAATAGCCGCTAAGCCGCTAAGCCGTTAATAGCCGCTAAGCCGCTAATAGCCGTGCTTCGCAAGACGAAAAAACCGCAAGACGAAGAGACTCGCGGAACGGATTAATTTCGTCTTGCGAGGCACCACTGTATTCTCTATAAGACTGGAGAGACCCATATAATGGACTTAAAAGCTGCTTCTAGCATTGTCTCTGACCATGCTTTAATATGGTCCTGTATTTCAGGAATCTATGGGCTGAATTCAGCCCAAATGTCAACATTTTTATGTCCTGTTGATTTCATTATGAGAGCTAGGCATCTGTTTAAAACTCCCATACTAAAGTCAGTAGGACCTTAGAATGTTTGCGTGGCAGTGAACACCTGAATACAACTTGAGCCTTTAAACCTTTGGATAATGGCAAATTATGTATTGTGAGGGATTTTAATGAATCACATCGATTTCTGCTTCCTTTCTGGGTAACTAGTATATCTAAAGGCAAAGTAGGACAGATAGGCATAGCTGGCTTTATTTATTCCATAGCAGCACACAGTCAATGTTTTGGAAAGTACTATATTTACTATTTAGATGGTTTGGACATACTGATGATAGCAACCAGCACCTCACAATCTGTGTAGCCCACCACTTAATACAGTTGTCTTCCAGACAGAATCCTCCGCTGAGGTAAAAAAAAGCTTTCAACAAAATACCGTATTTTTTGCTCTATAAGACTTACTTTTCCCCTCCTAAAAAATAAGGGGAAATGTGTGTGCGTCTTATGGCACGAATGCAGGCTGCGCAGCTATCCCAGAAGCCAGAACAGCAAGAGCGATTGCTGCTTTCACTGCGCAGCGATTCCTCTTGCTGTTCTTGCTTCTGAGATTCAGAATATTTTTTTTCTTGTTTTCCTCCTCCAAAAACTAGGTGCATCTTGTGGTCTGGTGCGTCTTATAGAGCGAAAAATACGGTAATTATGCACATGTTTTCACAGAAGCTGTCTCAAATGTATTATTAATTCATTGTGATTCACCTAAACTCATAGCATATTAATATCACTGGGACCTTATGGTGATGGGCAGGCAAGAAATTAAATAAATGACTGATAAGATTAACACTGAATTCAAACACTGAATGACTTTTTCCCGTGTGGCAAGTGATCAGCACTCTCCACAATGCTATCTCAAATCTATGGAAAGGAAAGAACTGTAATACATGGAGAATATCAGGCATGGAGAGTGGTGTGGAGAAGACCCTTAAGCAGCTTTGGTGACAAAAAAAAAATGTTGTACCTCCAGCTCCCAAAGAACCATTCAAACCAGGCCTTAGTGGTCAGAAAAGCTGCTGGAAGAAATATACTGTGATTTGGAACTGATGATGGATTCGGAGGCAGTCCTTAGTTAAGCCATTGGAGGGCAGCAGGGATAGACCATAGCTATGCATGGAGATGGGCACCCACTAGGAAAATAATCATTTTGGCTGTTTACCAGGCCATTGCATGTGTGTGTTCTGCTTTGGTAAATTTTACAAACTTTCTACAGTTTATATATGGAAATTTTGGATTTTCCTAACACCCTGCCTATAAATTTGGAAAAAAGGAAGTCTTTACACCGACTTCTTTGGAAAGTATTTTATAGACGTGGTCACTGTTATATTGGCTATGAATGTGGATATACCATGCCCCAATCTTGAAATGTTAGCCTTGGCAAAATTCCCATTTACTTTAAACCACGTTACTGCTATTACAATGGAAGCTTCAAAAAGAGATTGTCTGAAGAGGCCGTTGTAAACTTTACTGCATGCAAATTACTCTCTCTGGGTGGTTTCTACCTACACTTAAATAAGGCATTGGAGTTTCTGTCAGTTTTAAATGGCACATCAACTAGCCCCACAGATAGAAAATAGGGCAGACCTGGAATGAAGCTCCCTATTACTGAATTAGACCATGGGCATATCTAGCTCAGTTCTGTTGACACTGCCTGGCACTGACTCTCCGGGGTTCAGGCAGAAAGAAAATAAATTTCCCTACATGGAAATACCCAGGATTGAATCTCAGACCTTATGCATGCAAAACATGTAATCTACCATGTAATCTACACACCTTTTCCCTATGTGTGACCTGGGTTCAAGTTCCAGTTTAGGATAGTGCAGACAGGATTATTATGTTGCCTCATACATTTCAGGCTCATTATCCCATCTGTAAAATGGGAACAATCACAGAATTATTGTTAAGGAGGAATATTCCTGGATCCTGACCTGTCAATCTAGATTGCCCCCCCCTTCTGTTTACTATGAATAGACCAGTCATGTACTCACTAATAGCATCTCACCTAGTTCAAGCCCTTACTTTCTGGTTCAAGTGCTGGGATCCCTAAACAATAAAAAGACGGTAACACACTCTGCTTTATAAACATTATGTAGACGTAGAGTAACTGCAGGCTCCTAATGTAGGACTTCTGTTTGGTGACCCTGCCCCTCCTCTTACTCTTTCTGAATAAAACATACTAAGGCTGTGTTTACAGTCTTGAGAACTGTAGTTTGTTAAGGGTACTGAGAATCGTAGCTTGGGAGGGGGATAAACTAGGGTTGGGAGGGAAATGTGTTTTAAGAGAATGATATGTATGCAGCCTGTGTCAGTATGATAGTAAAATGAATAATTGGGCATGAGGAGTAGTCCCATGAAGTCTGCTGAGAACTCCTAGGAAGGATGCTAATATGATAAATAAAATAAGCCAACACATTGCTTATTCTTCTTTTTCTTTATCAAGGCACCCTATTATAGCTGAAGACTTTACAAAATCGTCCCCATATTTTATTTTACTTTCTGAGCAAAACACTCTCAGCCTTTCCCCCTCCTATTATCTGCCCCCTAGGCTCATTATCCCATTTTTAAACCTGTTTTCATGTTCATTTTTAATTTATTAGCACCTGTATTTAATTATGGTTTCTAGAACTGAGGGTCATGCCCCAAATGAGGTCTTGCCAGTGCTTAGCTTTACAAGCTCACAGTGACAATTAGGCCAGCCTAGCTAATATTTCTTCACAAAATTAGAACTCAGAGAAACTAAACTTTTATGCAAAGATTGTTAATTAAGCCTGTCTCTGGTGAAACCCAAAGGAATGACTCAAGTAGCCCCTGACTGATTTTTTTGTTTTGTTTTGTTGTTCTAAAATGCATGCTCACATCTGATTATGGAGAGAAAACAAGGAACAAGAAAGGGAGGGGGGAGACCAGTATGGCAGGCAGAAGAATATTTTCCTGTCAGTTCTACAATATTAATAGAGTTTGTTGCCTTTCTTAGTAATAAATAACAAATCATTCTTTCAGGAGCCAATGAAGCAAGCTTATACCTTAGCCAGAAACATCCCAAGGAACGACGCCAAGTTTCCACAAACGTAAGATAGCATTAATTTTTATGACGGTTGAAAAATCCACAGGGTTTGTAAAAACAGGTTTTCATTACAAAAAGCAAAAGGACTTCTGTGTGCCTTGGTACATTTCAGAGCTGATAAAAAAAACATGCTGTTGTTGCTATAAAGCAAAGAAAAAAGTTACCGGAGAAGGTGAGACCTTCAATTTTGTCCCTGTTTCTTTGAGACTGGCAACTTGGCAATTTTGGCATCCCTCCACTGAGTTTATTCATAGTTTTGTGAATTATGCATGTCACGGTTTAGTGAAATATGTATTTAATTAAAGCAAAAACTAATGTACTGGTCTCATCTGATTATTTTTTTAATCCTGATACAGCTGTAGAACTTATAGGAATGGATTCTTGTCAACTTGCTTATACAATGACTTCACTTTCCCAATTGCCTTCGGAAGATCTGGCATGCAAAACAGCTATACATAGCTTTAAATAAACATTTACTGCCAAATACTCGTTGTGAAATAACTTTTCATGTCTGCATTGCATCAGACATGCATTGTTTAGTGAAAACCTTTTAAAAGCTTCAACTGGCCATGAGAATGGTCGTTCAAGCAAATTATCTCCCTGGTGTCAAATATGAAGTGAACTGTATCTTTTATGTGGCTTATTTGGTCGAGGAATCTTAATGAAATGCTTCAGTGCTAAATTTTGAAAAGACACACAATGGTAGCAGTTGTCTCCATCCCCTCCTGGTAACGGGGTAGTTTCCCTTCTGCAGTTTCCAGGATGTCAGAGATGATCTACAGAAAGGAGCAATTGTGCCAGGACTCAAACTGAGAACCTTCCAGTTTGCATGCAGCTGGCTGTCCTTTGTGGTGAGCCACTGAACTGTGTGTTACAATACCTGCCTAGGCAGCATAGTGCTGAGTGGTCCCACCTTCTCAAGTGGGCCATTAGATCCTCTGTACAGGATGAACTATAAGAGGGAGGGGGGAAGCTGCAGCCCTTTAGCTGAACCGCCTTCATAATTTTCTATCTAAATCACAGATAAACACAACAGAAGGAATCAACATGGCTAAAGGATGTCACGTCGAGGCATTTAATTCAGAACATGGTACCATATGAAGCACCTTGAAAAGTTTTGCTGGTGTTCATGAAGGCAGAAAAGTTTTGGGGAATGCTTGGGAAATGGTTTCATTTATTTCCTTCCATTCATATCCCACTATTCTTCCATTGTGGAACCCAAAGCAATGCACCTGTTGATCCTAGGCAGTCACCTGTACAAGCACTGATCAGGCAGAGATTGCTTAGCTTCAGCACTATGGCAGCTTTGTGTGCCTACTACACGTACCTTTGGGTCCTGTGCATGGGGGTTCTGGTGGGAGACAGGACTGATGCCATCTTTTCTATAGCTCCTATAACCTTCCCTATCCAGCTCACAAATGTACCCATTTGTGTTGTCCGAGTCAGTAATTTGACACCAGTTTGAATCAGCTCACCTCCTGCAGAATAAATATGCTTGTTATTTTCAGATTATGTGCCGATAGGAACACAGCGAAAGAAGGTCACTGCAATTGCCTCTTGCCAGCGAGTGATCCATAAGTTATTTTGCACTTAATTTGGTTTGTTTCCATTGATGTCAATGGGGCTAAACATATGCACAGATGCCCTTTTTTGACTCACCGATGCAACTTTGTGTTTAACAAGGCTTAACAGCTCTAAGACATTGTACTTCTCAAAACACCTAATTGCTATGAAGTGGGAAATCATCACAAGTCTAGTTTGCCAATTCAGGGCTTGTTTAATGTCCCAAGGCACAGTGAAATGGTGCCAAGACAGTAAATTTAATTTTATTGGAGATCTCATTCCTACACTTGCTTTGGCTGTTGGGATACAAGTAGAGGATTGTGCCACGACAGCCATGGCACCACACAGTGCAAGGCAAATGGACCTGGTCAGCTGGACATGCTCTCTAGGGATGTTGGAGAATTTCGACAGCAACAGAAATGGAAGCAGACATTGCCAGTGGCTGGTTATTCATCCCATTTCTAGAATGGAAATCAGTCCAGCAAATATAATCAGCATTATAATCAGCCACACACATTTGCATTCACAAGAGCACAACACCAAAAGACAGGTGTCTTTGGGTGCCGTGCAAGCTAGCTAACTCGCAGGGCAGCGCAGCACCAAAGTACATGCATCCTGATTTTCATCAGAAGAATGTTGGAGGGTATGCAAACAGTTGTCCACCCAATTGTGAAATTCAGAAAAGTGTGAATTCAAAGAGTAGCCCTAAAGTGTGCACTAGATAGGTTCACCTTTAAATATGAACTAAATTCAATTTCTCCTGTTCCCCCACCTATCTTTTCCTAGTATCTTCCCTTTGTCAGCTAGCTCAAAGACAGCACTCAAATGTCCATAGCACTCTAAGCTTTGTGGAGAAATGTCCCAAATCATTGCCCTAAATTGCACCCTCAGACTTTTAGCCCGCCTCATGATTAAGCTGGCTGTGTATAAAAGTGTCATGTATTGTGTTTCTAATACAAAGGGTTCACACTGGCACCACTCTAACAGGATGCTATTATAATAATCCAAGAATCCATGTAAGATAAATAAGGAAAAGCATATTTTGAAGTTTGTGGTTTGCAAAAGCCAACAGACCCACAGTCCGGAATGAGTTGCAGTTCTGGTTTCCAAATGCCATCAGAGCAATATACAATCCATCAAAGCACACCATCTTAATACATATTTCTGGAGTGAGACATCTACGAATTCAACAAAATAAGTTTTCTCTGCTTATTTGCCATCTAGTTTCACATGGAAACTGAAAACAGATTTAATCAAATACTGACTGTAGTTTTCAGTGCATAGGATCATTTTAAGGGTGCCTGCTTCTGTATGAATCTCACTGAGATGGATCTGCAAAGCATCGCAGCAGTACTTGATATTGTTATGAGGTTTTTTGGGCAAAGGAATTAGGCTGAATTCCTAGGCCCCTTTTAATTCTTGGAATTGCCAGGTGAGCTTCCTGGTGAGGTGATCGCCTGGGTGATGAGCCATTAAGGGGAACAAAATTAGCAGAAATGTATAGGATAAGTGACAATCTAATGTAGAGGCAGCAAGACGCGTACATGTACAGTCAATTAAAAGTTGATTTTATTCCAGAAAAAACATGCCACTTGTCCGGAGCTCTCTGCCCCCGTGACTTATGGCTACCCTGATGATGACTCAACGAATCTCTTCCGTCGCTTCTGTGATGTCAATTTCCCCTTTTCTTGTACGTTCTCTTCTGCGTTCTTGCATGCTGAGAGGTTTGCAAACTGGACTGGAGAAGCTATCGTCTGCTAAGTCCTGTGTTTCCCTGGGCTGCAAATTCCCCCCTGTCCTTTCCTCTGACCTCACTTCATCCCCTGGGCTGCCATCCAAGTCTGGCAGCTGCTGCTGTTCGCTTGCTGGCTCCAGCCTGACATCTATGTTGAAAATGTAAAGAAAAAGAAGGGAATTTCTACCATATGTGGTGGACTTGTCCTAAGGTAAAAATTTATTGGGATATGATATATAATGAGATGAAGAAAATATTTAAGAATACTTTTCAAAAGAAACCAGAAGCTTTTTTGCTGGGCATATTTGGTGATGAAATCTCTAAGAAGGATTATAATATATTTCTTTATGCCACAACGGTGGCAAGAATTATTTTAGCCCAGAAATGGAAGCAGCAAGAAATTCCAACAGTAGAAGAATGGCAAACTAAGATGGACTGAAGATGCAGAACTGGCAAAACCGTCTGGGGAAATCCGTGACCAGCGAGATCAACTGTTTGAAAAAGACTGGAGCAGATTTATTTTATATTTGAAAGAACATTGTAAATCTCTGACAACACTAACAGGACTGATTTAAAGGTTTTTGCAGATTAGAAATAGAAAGTTATCTACAATGAGAAGGAATTTTAAGGAATGAAAATAGGTAGATAGGGGGAATTGGAAATGCAAGGAAATGATGAAAAGAAGATAGAAAGTTGGTTTTGGGGGGATGGAGGGAAGTTTGAGGCTTGAAAGTCTCAAATTATAGGTGATGAAAAGATATGTTATAAATGTTTGGTTGAAAAATGAAAACTTAATAAATATTATCATGAAAAGGGGAACAAAGGAAGTGGATTTGTGTGAGGTGGCAAATAAGTGGTGCCCAACTCACGGGCAGTTAGAAAGAGAAAGCCAGACTTGAGAGCAGAGAGTTGGATTGATGTGAGCTAGGAGTAAAGCAGCAAGGGAGAAAGCAGAGGGAGAGAGAACAATGCTTGATTTCTGTTTCAATCCAAGGCAGAGGCTATGGGAAAAACAAGACCCCTTTGGGGGTGAATCCCTCCATTGTAGTCTCAGGTTCTTTATGTGTGTATATAAACCGCATACCATAAAGACACCACCGTTCTGTGCTGCATGTGTATGAAGGAACTGCATAGATGGAGTCAATGGTATGTACACTATGTATGTGTATATATGTGTATGCACACACACACACACACACACACACACACACACGGAATGCTGAGGAAAGGAAGGAAAACCAGAGCGAGGGTAATAGGAATGGAACAGAATAATACAGTGGTGCCTCGGGTTAAGTACTTAATTTGTTCCAGAGGTCCGTTCTTAACCTGAAACTGTTCTTAACCTGAAGCACCACTTTAGCTAATGGGGCCTCCCGCTGCTGCTGTGCCGCTGGAGCACAATTTCTGTTCTCATCCTGAAGCAAAGTTCTTAACCTGAGGTAATATTTCTGGGTTAGCGGAGTCTGTAACCTGAAGCGTATGTAACCTGAAGCATATGTAACCCAAGGTACCACTGTATGGATGTGGGTATGGCTGGCTTACTGGCACCTTGGACAGGACAACTCCATGCTGCAGCATTTTGTTGCAGATTCAATTTCTTTTGCATTTAGGGCACATTGCTTCAAATGGTATGTGTGTGGTATGCACACATGTGTGTTTCAAGCTGCAACTGTCTTGCGCACCACCTGACAAGAGATCTTTTTAAT